ATTTAGCTAGACTATCAAAAAGTGTACCTGTCCAGTCATTTGTCCATAAGTAGGCATCTATTTGTATGTTGTTATATAGGTAACCCATACATGCTCCCTCTTCACAATTTTACTCATGTCAGTTTCAAATCACCATAGAAAAGGCTTGTCCAACAGGGGATTAGGGTCGATTACACAGTGTCTCTGTTCAAGTTACTGGAAATTCCAAGACAGTTGCAAGGTTGGCTGAAATATAAGGAGCTCTTCAGTATTTATAGAGAAAGTCTCCCAACCGCATATACAAGGCCCTCTGCACCACCATGAGTTGCCTGAGTGAGCTGGGGGGGATGAGAAGTGTAAGCTACAAGTTGTGATCAGCTTGTCCCTGCACAACATATAGATAGGGCAGTTGGGGACAGAGCAAGGAACTACCACAAGACAACACCTAAAAGATATACAGTGTCACTAGCCTTGAGCTGGAATAGAGAGATGTGTTGCAAACCTGTTAATCTACAGGTGGGCTGGAGGTCTTTTCCCTAAGTTTCCTACAGAAAGGCCATTTTTCTTCCCTTGTGTGAGAAGGGACAATTTTTCCTTTTCTATTTTAAACTGGAATAATGCCCAATTCCCTTGAGAATCCCAGTCTCATCTAATTTATCCTAGTTAATTATGTGTCATGGGTTCCACTATCAATTTTTAGGCCTGCAGAGGCTGTAAATCAGCACTGAATCTGGTTCCTTGTCTTACTAGGTTTATAACTCCCATGCCAAGCCAGGATAATATTTTTCACAAGTCTTTAAAAAGATTAAAATTAGATAATCTGTTTTTTTCCACTTATGCTGGTAAAAAATAAAACAAGCAACAAAGATTGCTAGTGTAAGACTTTTATGCTAGTACAGTTTAGTACAAACAGCTTTGATCTAAGATTGGAAATTTGGCAACCTAATCATGCATAATATGGTTCAGTTCTCTTCTGTATTATTGGGGACATCCAATAAAAACTAGTTTTCGTAAGGATTTTTCTCATTACACAATGTCACTGTAAGGTATCGTTTTCCAGTACAACCTGGCTTCCATTACTGCTAATAGGAGTAACTTTGGCGTTCATCAAGGAAAGAATGTATCTCCATAAATACACATTTCCATGACTGCTATGACTTACTATGCTGTGACACTGCAATCAAAGGGCTGTTAATCAACTACATTCTTTGCAGTGACTGTAATTTGTGCAGTAGGCAATCAAATGGTAGTTATGCTCCTGTGTATCTGTGGACTGATATAGATCCTAGTTATGGGAGCATCTTTGAAAATTATAGCATCATAGAGTAGATCGACCTTTAAGGGACAGGCCTGTTAAAATTAATTATGATGCTCCATTAAGGTAAAATGCAGCACTAACCCTACATAAAAAGAAATCTGTAGAATATTTTTCTTTGTATCAACCAAAATATATTTTCTGTAAATAGAGCAGCACCTTGTTAAATGGGGATCAGTTAAAAGAAAAGAGCATTTTGAAGAATAGTGTTTTGTTAAAATAAGGTTACTGTTTAATTACTGTCTACTATACAAGCAGAATGGACTGTACAGTAAACAAGAGGCATATATAATTATGGTACTTGGTTATTCAAGCACAGATTATTTGAGCATCATTGACGCATTTTAGTCTAACTAAGCAATCATGTTCAATTTTGGATAAAGTCTCCCCATTTGAGGATGTTGTGATTACCAGTATTCAAATAGCTATAAACCTGTTAAAAACTTTCTAAATAAACAAGTAGGTAAAAAAAAGTTCTCATTTTATGAGCTCAGATACTATGGTGTTGAAGGAAATCAGGTAGCTGCAAGTTAGATAGGCAAAGAGAGTTCAGTGTTTGGATCAGAGGAGAATACATGTAAAAATTTCAAAAGTCTTTCAAATTGATTTGGTAAATGACACAGTTATAACAAACCTCTCTATGTATATTCCTATGTTGGTCATTTCAATCCCAATTTGGAATCACTGCATTTTTAGGTTTCTGAGAATGTATTCTATACATTCACCAGAGGACTTTTTAATTCCCATTAATTTTTTCTTCCTGATTTATAGGACGTACAAAGAAAAAAAAAAGCCTTAGATGGAAATGTTGATGGGTTGTTGTTAAGAGTGCTGGTGCACCATATGGACAGTAGAACTTCTAGCAGACTATGCTCTCAGATTTGTATGGATCTGGGTTTGTTAAGCCACTAATGGGGAGAGGAGAAGGGTTTTCAGTTTACAGGGTCAGTGTTAGTCTATATCAGCTTTTCCTCATTCAACACATTCCTGTTCTGACTTCAGAAAATAGAACTGGCTCCCTGGGAAATTTTTCAATGAAAATACTCTGACCATGTTCCTAACTAGGAAGTATTTTCTGATGTACACAGGAAGTAGCATATGACATCTTTGTGTTGTAAAGCTACGGTTCTCAACGTTTATTTCATTTATGGACCTCTAAAATTTTCAAATGGAGGTGAGGACCCCTTTGGAAATCTTAGACATAGTTTGGGTCAGCGGACCACAGGTTGAAAATGACTTTTGTAAGGAACGGGGTCCCAATTGATAGTGGAAGAGATGTCATGTCTCATAAATATGCTGCCATCTCTAGACATCCATACTTATTATTCATAATATCAGACATTACAAAGTTGTGTACATTCCACTATAAAATGTTTGCACAACCTTAAGAGTCCCATTCTACTCCAACTGAAATCAATGGAAGTCTTTCCATTAATTTTAACAGGAGCTGGATCAGACACCTTTGTCCATATCTGACCAGACCCAGTGCCTCTTTGATGTTCTGATCATATAATAGGGTTCTTTGAAAAAGCAAATTGTGCACTTTGATATGACATTGCAACATTATGTAGTAAAGGCTGCAGCATATCTTGGCATAGTCCATACTTGACTTTTGGATGGATATGTTGTTTAAACACCACCATGACAATGCTAATTTGTGGAATAGCAGAATAAGTACAATACTATAACAAAGAAGTTCGCTACAAAATTCTGTCACTTCAGAGTACTTGCTCACAGATTACATTGTAGAGCAGTTAAGACAAAACTACCACTTTGCTCATCACATAGCATGCACCTGAAATGATGATGCCAAATCAGTTGCCATAAACAGTTTTCAGTTTATTCATGCTTGGAGACGACAGTTCTTAACTTTTGAAAATCTGCAGTGCTGCCCTGATGAAAGTAGATACAGTTCCCTTTTACACAGCATGAATTTGGAAATACAAATCCCCTTCATTTGTAGCTGCTCTCACATGTGCAGAGGGGTGCAGATTGCCACCTGTTACACCCATGGGTGTGTGTCAAATCACATAATGAATCTGAATTACTAGATGTTACATTCGGACCTCTACTTTAGCTGATACACAGGTAAAACATATAGTCAGAAATCTACTTAGTGACTGTACAGCTGCACATATTGAAAACTATGTTATTTCAGGTTTCAGAGAAGTAGCCGTATTAGTCTGTATCCGCAAAAAGAAAAAATTGTTAGTCTCTCAGGTGCCACAAGTACTCCTTTTCTTTTTTCGTGTTATTTCAGTGATGGAAGAAGGTTGTTCCTGCCATCCTTAATAATATAATGGTAGTCATAGTTTTCAAATTTGGGCACCTACATGGCATGTAGTGATGCATCTGGATCTTCAAATTAGCATTAAGTATCTAAAACAGGTACTTGATCAGGTAAGTACCAATTTGTGTCCACATCTAAAGAACTGGATGCTGTAACACACCGCTTATGGGCATTTTATATTCTTGTTTATGATGAATAGCAGCTTACTCCATAAGCAGTTCCATTGATACATTTATATTCATCCTGAATAAGGTAACTGGTGTCCCCATCCTCTGATGCCCCAGAAACTTCTCAGATTTGGTCCAGTAAGTAGCAATTTTGTGTGAATTTATTTGTAATTCCTATCACCAATACAGTCTGGTGCATCCAGAGACGAACAGAGTCTCCCTTCCTTGAGATCTCAGTGCATTCTTGGGATCAGCTAACCCAGGTTCTCCCCTTCCTTCCTTCCGGTGTCTTCTTTTATACTCCTCAGCTCATGGCTAATAGGTTCATCAGCCCTCCCACCCTGATCAGCGAATTAGTGGCATATTCCCCAATCAGCCTTTTTCGGGGGAACTGACTGGTGCCTAAGTGCAGGCTCACCAGTTACTTTCCAGCATTCTGTCACACTAGCCTTCAGTATGAATAGCAGGCTCACTGGAGTAAGCAGCAATCTATCTTTTTCAAAATTTAAATAAGAAATTAGCACGTAGATTTTAATTAGAGAATATTTTTGTTCCTTTTAAATAACGAGGCAATTAAATAGGCAGAGATCAGCTTCATGAGTTTGCATATGAATAGTAAAAATCCTTAAACATCAGTATTAATGCAGCTTTCCTTTGGATTGTTCAGAGTAAAAGACGATAAAGTTAAACACTTCCAATCCATATTAACTTGTGGATGTTAAAAGAAGACAATATGATGGACACTTCACAGAACAATGTCTTCTGGAATTTACACCATGTTCCAAAAACAATGACAACATAAGAATTTATGTTTTCTTTATTGACTGACATCTCAAGCCCCATCAGCCTTCCCACTTGAGTCTCAGTTTGTAGCAGTTTAAGGCTTCACAAGAAAGCATGAAACAAAAGCAAACAGATGAGGAAACACCAAAGACTTGCTTCTCTATATGCAATTAGCAATTTCCACCTTTTAAACAGAAACCATTTAAAAATAGGAATACAAATCTAACGACCTTTTCTGTCCTGTCTATGGATGAACATAGTGATTATTAAAAACAATGAGAGTTATGCACCCACTTCAAGCGTGCTAAAGGTAAACATAGTACTTCTCAGGCTTCCTTCATTAAAGCTAAAAGAAAAGGAGGACTTGTGGCACCTTAGAGACTAGAGACTAACCAATTTATTTGAGCATAAGCTTTCGTGAACTACAGCTCAGTATGCATCCGATGACGTGAGCTGTAGCTCACGAAAGCTTATGCTCAAATAAATTGGTTAGTCTCTAAGGTGCCACAAGTCCTCCTTTTCTTTTTGCGAATACAGACTAACACGGCTGTTACTCTGAAACCTTTCATTAAAGCTGTCTCACAATACTTTTACGCATGCGTGCATTAGTTTGAATGAGACCAATTACTTGAACAAATAGAGACTGCCTATCATTGACCTAGAGATGTAATGCTACACTACCACAGGAGAGAATTTCAGGATGGTGAACTCAACTTTTCACTGAAAACAATGTTAGAAGTCCTTGAAAGTATAAAACATTAGCAGCTTGCCTTAGCGTCACAACAGAACAGTACTAACATAATTTCGCATTAGAATTCATATGCACCTCTCATCTTACTAGAAACAAATACTTGCAGTTTATAAGCTTCTAACATGCTGAGAATTTCCATTGTTTCTTCAATAATATATACATGTAGACTTTTCTCAGGGAGCCATTTGAGTTCACAACTCAGTTCATAAGTATAAACATGATATATATTATTATTGTATTAGAAGAAATCAGTACTTCAGTTTCTAACACACATCCTCAATAATAATCATGACCTATGATTGCATTTATACATCTAAACTAGTTGTTATGAGTAAACCCACAAATCACATTATAGTAACAGAAGTTAATGGATTCTGTATTCCATGCCACATGAACACAGAAGCAATTGCAAATACAAAATCTGATAGGTATAGAAGATCGTCACCAGAAAACAAAAACAAAACAAAAAACCTGCAAAACATGCAGGGTAAAATAAATCAAACATAGTTCTCTGAAACTGTGTATCTAATTGGTAACATATATCTAGAATCCTGAAATAACTGATAATCACAGACCTCTTGAAAAGAAACAGCTCTCCACACATTTTGCATGTTGAAGTTTAAACTAATTCTTTAAAGGTTTTGCCTTCTTCTTGCCACTTCCCCATCCCCCACTGAGCCGGACTGGATGGTCTCGAAACGATATCCGCTCTTTATGAAATGGACCCAGGTTTGTTCTTTCTGAAGCAGATATGTCCTTTGCTATACAATCAAACAAGTGGCATGAAAATATGTCATCAGTTCAGTCAAATTAGATTATTTTTAATACAATAAAGTAAAAATTCTTTCATCAACATGTCTAATTTGGTAGTTTATACATTTACATAGCTTGTGTCTTTTGTCTTTGTGCTTTTTCTTCAAAATAATTTCAAGCTTTAAAAGAAGCTTGTAGCAGTAATTTTGTAAATATAGTACAGTATTTCGGAAAATAAACTGCAAAATTATTAGACATAGGCAATGTAGTTTCCAAACAAGTTTCCCTACCTGCCCATTTTGAAATTATTTTAAAGAATATGCAAAAGATACATTAGAGAAACAAGTCACTCTTATAACTAAAGATGTTTTGTAACCACACAAAGAACAAGCTTGGAGCTTTTATCTATTTAACTAGTAATTGTTTTGATAACATCAGTACAAATACAATGGGCCAGATTTGCTCTAACTGAAGTCAAAGGAAGTTTTGCCATTAGTGCTGATGAAAGCAGAACTGGGACAAAAAGACATTATTACCCCCCCCCCAAAAAAAACTTTTAAATCTTATGAAATTATTCAGTATTCAGTAACATCTATACAAATACCTAAGTAATGCAACTACTGATTTCTACAAACAAGCAGCGTAAGACAAGATGGGTTAATTTAATAGACAAGAGAATAATGTATAAAGAATGCCATAGATGTAATTTTATTTTAAGAAAATCAACACTTCAACTGACATGAATGTCTCCCTTTCTCTCATTAGGCATGTAAAATCCTCTCATATTCTGTGTAACACATCTCACATTGTGTAGCAAATCCTCAGAGGAAAATGGTGAAGATAATACAGTTATCTAAGGTGTCTATTACCAAAGAATTAAGCTAAGCAAGCATAACCAAATTTTACAAGTGTCTTTCTGCCAATTATCAAAAGTTCTAATTTACCCATTTTGGGTAGTCCATATGTTATTTTCAACCATTTTAATTAGCTGCATTAAAGTAGTTCATAGAATCATGGAGATTCGAAATGAAAAATGCCTATTATATCATCTCCGCCAAAACAGGATTGGTGACTGTTATATATGTGTTGCCTAATTTAGTTTTAATTCCCAAGCAATGGCACCCTCACTACTTCCCTTCACAGCTTATTCTACAGTATAACAGTATCTCACAGTCAGGACATTTCCTCTGATATTCACTCTCCATCACCCCTTTTAATTTTATCCCATTACTCCTTGTTATACTGTCATGCACTACGCAAAATAACACTTCTCTCTTCTTGATATTTTGACCCTTCAAATATTTTTTATGCATCCCCGATTTTTAGTTGTGGCTTAGTCAAGCTATACATATTTTTCTTATTTAATTTTTCCTCACAATTCTTTTCTGATACTACTTACAGTAGACCTAATTAATAAGGTGTCAAAAATGCCTTTGGCAGCTGTTGCCCCATCTACACTAGGGCTCTCAACATTGGGTCATTTTGTTACCTTACGAATGGTAATAAGTTTTTAGAAAATGTCACTAGTGCAGACAGGACATTTAATAGGGAGCAAGGAGTTAAGGTATATAATAATTAATGGAAGCTTACTGTAAACTTTCAGGGAATTCTTTAACTGGAGACATAAAGTACTCACAGAAGACAGCCGAAGCTGACAGCAGCAGAGTGGTAAATTCAATAATTTCCTTGATGAAGTTTCAAATTAAGCATAATAAAACAATAATATGAAGAAGTTTCTTTCTCAACTGAAGGAGAGACTGTGAAGTTGGAAAGCGCAGTTGCTAAGAAGAAAAAGCACCAAGAATTAAGAATATGGAACATGGTTTGTTTATTTGTGGAAAAGAGGAAGTCATTGTTACATGTTTAGACTAAAAGAAAGAAGTTGGCGCTATTGTGTGTATGTGACAGGCTTTCTCCAGCACATCTCTTATAAGCTGCAGAAATACGAATGGGCGAAGGTGGGGACATGAATTATTTTTTTTCCTTTCCCCATGTCACACCTTTTTATATCCCTTATGTGGAAAAAAAATCCCCATACCAAAATGGTTCTGGAAGTTCACCCAAAAGGGACAGAATTCAGTGGAGCAGAACTTGAAATTCATCACACCCTAACTACTAATGGCACTAGCTGCTTGTAAATTTCTACATTGTTTAAATTTGATTTCTAGTGGAAGGACTTCAGAAATCTTTGCATGTAGGGTTTTCTGCTTTTCCACATATAAACGCACATAATTCATTGGAAGGGACAGTACTACATTTCCATTGCTATGAAATAATATTCTGAAATGGAAATGTAAGAATTTTTTCCAGTTTGGTGTAATTTGCTGCAACATAATTGTTAACATTTTACAAAATTATTGAGTTATATCTTTTTATTTGGACAGAACCATGTTATACTACGGCACGAACTGTTCTTGCCCCCAAAGTCTCTAAACTTCAGCTTCAAATGTCCACAAATTTACTTTGTATTTCTGATCGTAATATTTTTTTTAAATGTGTGTTAATTTTTTTTGTAAATAAATATGAATTTAATAATTTTTAGAGTTTGCAAACTGCGTCGACAACAAGTGGTGTTCCAACAGTCTGTGATTACACTTGTGGGAAGAATGACAATCATATCTCAGACTTCAAAAAGTCTATGTAGTTATACAGTGTCACAGAGTAGAATTAAACACTCAGTCTTTTGATGGTTTTGTAGATTTCCAGAAAATTCTACATGACCAGATTCTCTGTTTCACTGAGTTTATATTCAGTGAAGCAAAGAGGGGGATTCGTAAGGGTGCCAGTTGTGGCTCCCTGATTATCTAGCCATTCTCTACCTCCATAACTGACAAGATCCATATATGGCGTGCAAAGGATTGCTCTTTAGTGGCTAAAAAAAAATAAGCAACTACTCTCTGAAGGGAAAGATTAACCAAACTACTATGAAATCCCAAGAGTTTAGGGAAACTACAAGATAACTACACAAGACATTTCACCTCTATGTGCCTCAGCTTCCCCAACTCTGTAAAATGGAATAATGATACTGACCTTTGTGAAGCATTTTGAGATCTATTAATGAAAAGCAGTATATAAGAACTAGGTATTATTATTATTATTATTACTACTGTTACTGACAGTCTTAGCAGACAGGTTAAAGACTGAATGGATAGGGAGATTAAACAACCTCATCATACCTAAAGATTGTCCCTTGAACACAGAATTGAGTCAGATTGGCATAGGAGTATAGCGAAGCCTGTTCTTTACCTACTCTAGACTGATGCTGCAGGCTTTACACACAGAAAACTACCACTGGTTTACACATTAATCATGATTGAAAGACTGGGCCCTGGGATTCTGTGATTATGCCAGAGGCAGTCTGGGTAGTCAATGGAGGAGTTCACCTTGTAAGAAAAGTACCCCAATTTTATCCCAGTCCTTCCTGGAGTTGAATGTAGAAACAACCTGTGGGGAAGAAAAAGAAAGAGGAGCCAGCTGCAGGGCAGACACTGCAGAATAGGAATTGTCTACGCACAAATGGACCCTGAAATAACAGTTTTGGTTGTAATTCACAGTTAGTTACTTTTGTGAAAGTTGTGCACGGATGCACTTATTTTGCATTAAGAGTGTCTTATTTATACAAAATGAGCGTCCATACACAGACTAGCACTGAAATAACAAAAGATGTCAATTAAAATCAATTTAGTTATTTTGGTGTCAATCTGTCTGTAATTTTAATTTAATCTGTCTCTTTATTCTACGCTATCAATATAGAAACCTGGGCAAAATTTTCTCTGAGTGAAGCGTTCCACTAAAGAGAGAATCATCTCCAACGTTTCCAGTCCCGTCTAGATCCAGGGGTACAACAGGAATTTACAGAATTGGCAACATCATTTTGAACTGAGAGAGTATTCCTTACTTATACAGCACCACTTATTCCCAGAAATTCTGCACTGCAGTCTCTCACTGAAATGAATGGGTAACAAATACTAGTTTATGTTTCATCTGTTTATTTATATTTTTTCTCTTTTCTTCTGATTTCTCTTCTCCTCCTCCTCATTGGTATATGTGTTTGTAGCTGCTTGTTTCCTCCTGGCCACAGGAGGCCAAGCAGGATTATTATTTTAAAGTGTTTTTTTTAAACAGCCAAGAGAGGGGACAAAGAAAGAATGGAGAGATAGAGAAAGATGATTGATTGGAGATACCAGAGATAAAGCCAGAGATCCCTACTAACTAATACCTGGCACTTTTATAGCATTTTGTATTTTTCAAGGTGCTGTAGCAAACATTAATCTCAATGGGGCTAATTACATAAGTAAGAGCTGCATGGTCAGGCATTTATTCATTGCAAAACTATTCTGTGGGCCTTCAGCTGTTGTCTTTGTGCCCTTTCTCAAAGTCAGACTCTACACATAGTGACAACCACAAGAATATCCCTATTAATAAGTATGATTAGTATTACATTTAAACAGAATTGGACAAGTCTATTAAATAGAATAATTATACACTGACTGTGCTAAATTGTAACAGTTAGCCAGATGGGAATAAAATCATAAACAATTCTTAAACAAGAAAAGTGAATAACTCATACTATTCATACCTCTAAAATTGTGAAGCTGTTATTGAAAATGATTTGTTTATAGTAACACTGTGTTTTTGGCTATGTGAAGCTCCAAGTATCAAAGATATTTTCAGGTGCTTGCACATACCAAATAATATTTTTGTTTAAATATGTGCTGAAAGCATCTCTTGAGTTTGGTTAGAGTGTTCATATTTTCAAGCAGTCACTTCTCTGATGTTTAATCTGTTTTCTGCTAATGATTTGTTCTGGTCTTTTTTGGTTAAATCCTTGGTTCTTTAACAAATGTCAAGGTTTACATATGCTCTGTTTGGATAAGTAATGCAATATGTAAAATGCTTTGAATGAAACTCTTGGTATTTAGAAAAAAAACCTTTGTTAAACAAGTTATGTTAGAAATTTTCATGATGTATGCTAAGACGTCATAGGATTTTCATCGATACACCTAAC